GTTAAATAATTCAGTGCAAAATCAGCTGCACAAATTCTATATGGGGCTCAACTGGGACTCAGTTCCAGTTTTGCTCCTTGTGAGAAAGTCCAGCTTCTGGTTTCCTAACCCCATTAGGAGGTGTCTAACCTTGTGAAGTGTGTCAGATGCAACCCTGAGATTGAAGCAAGGCTGTTCCGAACAGTGGCCCGAGTTTGAACATTAATTCTATTCATCTAGGTAAGTCTAGCTCCAAAGGGGCTGCTTTATTAATTGTAAGGAATAATTATAGACCTCAATAGCAGGTGAACAGTCTATGTAAATTGTGTTCTAGTGGCTTGCCACCTCAGTTTTTGCTAATATCCAGGCTGGAGAAAGCCAAAGGAATAATTAGGAAATGGATCAATGAGCTAAGCCAAAGTATAAAGATCCATTGACCACTTAGTGATGTTCAAAGGCAAATCACAGGCAAAATATCTCTATTCCCTTACCTATTATAGCTCTCAGTAGACCTTTTTGTGAGCTTGCTTTAATTTTCTCCCCTCAACAGTCTTGGAGGGTAGATTCAGTAAAATTCTCATTATCATAGAGTTAATGACCATGTGGTTCAGGCAAAATTGAATGTGGAACATTCTTTTCTTTGTTCTGTATTTTATTCAAACCCCAGATAAAACCTGCTACAACCATTTCTGAAAAAAATGTCTGGTCAAACAGAGACATTTTATACAAGGTACTTTATAGCAGACAGAAATCCTAAAGTTATCTACCTAATTGGCAAATTCTGCTTCCAAGTGATAAGCCTATGTCGTCAAACATTAATTGCTGTGGGACTGTTTATGATGACTAATTTGGATATATCGATAGCTGTTTGGATATACACAAAGAGGACAGAAAGTTTCCATTTGTGTATAATTCTACTGAGTCTGGTCTATATCTGCATACCACCTGCTTGGACAACCACTGGTTTAGCTATCTGTCAGAACTCACCTCCGAATCTCTTTTTTACTTTTTCCAGCCTGGGGATTAGCTGCTTGGGTTGAGAGAGGTGACAGGTAAAGGGGAGAGATCTCCAATCCCAAAGACCAGTTATGCTATAGGAGTGGAGATCCACAAGCTATGAAAGAGCCCCCCGCCCGCGCCCCTTTACTGTCACCTTTCTTAGCCTGAAGTTCATCTACCCTGCAAGAAGAAGTGGCAGGAGATGGAGTGAGGTAGCTCGAAGAATTGACAGGCATAGGTAAATGGCAGCGGAAGAGCTGTCTCCCTCTTCACTACCCCATAGTGGCTATCAGCTCTCTGAACACTTTTAAAAGTGCAACAATTCTATGCTCTAAAATAGCTAATGTGTGTGTTGGATATTGTGTGGTGAAATGGAAGAAAGGCAGCTGAGTGAACCCCTATACCTGTCAGTTACTATTTGTGCAATATGTGATGGGCACTGAGAGAGGTTGTGCCATGGTGGCAGAAAGATAACTAGCTCTCTCCAATTTTACTATGGAGCCCCCTCCAGTCCTCAGCACTGGTCTGTTGCTGTCCCATATCTTCAAGTGATGGATAATCTGTGAAAACTGATAGGCAAACAGTTTGGAGGAAATGGATTTTCCCACGACACAAAGCAGAATGACCTGAGAGGACAGTGCTCAGAGACCAGAGGGGAGGGGGAGATGCTTGCAAGAGCTTAAGGGGGCTGATTCTATACTTTCGGCATCACCTAACTTCTTCCCAGGGTTGGAAACGAAAGAAGGGCAGAGAAGAAAAGAGTTGCTAAGGCATGTCTGTGCATTTATGTGTTAGTGGGGAAACTCCCATAGAAAGCACTCCTGATAACAGATACCACCCACATTTTCATAGGGAGCACAGAGTCCATGAGAATTTCCAAGCTGAATTCTTGGTTTTTCAAAGGGGAAAGTGAACCTGTTGAACATTGAACATTTATACTTCAGTGTAGATCGGTAGCTTTCTCCAGTAACAATCTCCATCAAAGTGTTTTCTTTCTAGATGTCTTATCTAAGATCATCTGGAGTTTATTATCCACCATCCACTGTAGTGCTTTAGGTACCGGATGATACTTATCTGTAAACAAGGAATCTAGCTGAGATACTTTTAATAGGGATTTAACTACTGATTCTGTCAATGAAATGGGAACCTCATAAACCCCCAGCTGCTGAAGACTAGATCTATTATGTCTTAATAACCAAGAAGATAATGATTCAAAGGACAAGCTATGAGGCAAACTATGATGTAATCTGCCATGTGTTCTTATCTTAATTTATTGGGAACATGAGTGTCCTGTATTCATTAAAAATTGCCTAGTAGAATGTATATCCCCTGTGCATCTTGATCTGAAGTGAATTAATCCATTATCGGTGATCCCATGCATTAGAGTGAAGATACCACAAATACCACCAAGTATACAGAACTTGGAAGAAAAGATTCTTATCAGAGAAAAACTCATAAACAATCAAAGGAGAATTGAACGTGCTAACTGATTATGGAACATTCACTCACTGTTGGAGGGGAGGGAGGGAGGAAGGAAGGTAGGTAGGTAGGTAGGTAGGTTGGTCTTGAGACATAGCTAGAATTCTGAATAGCAAGTGTCTACACTGCCAATTTGTTGGCTATCTTATTTATCACATTTAAATTAGTGTTCCTGTGTAACAAACCAGAATGAAGATGGGAACACAGAGAAATAGGAGAAGGCAAGGAGTGTGGTGAGCTCTGACCTGCCAGTTCCTTTCTGTTACAGTAAATAATTAAACACAGTTCAGAATCCTGAGGTGGGGAGGATAAATGTTGTGATAGAGAAAGCATTTTCTCATTTAGTACAGCTTGTTATTGAATCAATACGAATAATATCCAGAGGAGTAGCATTTAGTCATATTGGTTGAATGAAACTCAGGAAAAGCTTTTGGCAAGAGAGTCCCAGTAAGCCTCCTGAGATGTGATGGTACCATGTTAGTAAACCTGGAATTAAGAAGGATATTAAAATTTATCAAAGACATTCCCTGTGCATTTCTGAAATATCATGCCACTGGAATTTTGATAGAAAGTTGTAAAGAAGAAAATAGAAAACAGTGCACAGTAGTTCTTAGAATCTGGGAATGTGATTTTGCCTATATTAATTTACCTCAAGTATGTATATATGTTGATAAAAGCATACGCCACAAAAATAGTTTATAATTTGGGAAAGAAAGTGGTGCTAGCGTAAGCTATCCATGACTTTTTTGCTAAATGTGAAAAATTATGGGGAAAAAATAACTAGATTAGAAAAATATAAAAGGGAATCTATCTATGGGAGAGATTGTGGGAAAGAGAAAGGCCAGGTATTTGGTTTATCTGAGAAGAGGCAACTCCATCCAGATGTGAGAGATGTGGGAAGAAAGCATTCCAAAGAGAATGCTATTCACTCAGTATAGCTGGGTCTGGGACCTTATTCTTATAGTTTCCAAGGTTCTACATTTACCCTTGACTAGCATTAAAGATATCTTCCTGAAATCCATGCCATGCCTGCTTCTTTGGTTTTGCCAGCTCCAAAAACCATTTCACCAATCTGAATAGAACAACTCAGCTTGTGGTGTGTTGGCCAGGAGCACAGTTTCCTGGCCAAGTTCATGAAATTGCTGGTGACTAGTTTATGTGTAATGGATACAGTGATGGGCTACCTTGAAACGTGATTTGATTCCAATCAGTTGCTTGACCACCAAACCAGTATAATCAGAGAGATGCTTATGGGTGTCTGACCTGAGAAGGAAACACTTTGTTCCCTTCTTTTTCCTGATTTGTAGTTTCTGCCTGCGTCCCACACAAATCAGCATCTGAGTGCCACACTGCTTAAAAGATGAGGTAGGCATGCAGATTCAATTTTTCATTCCATGGAAAACGAAGGCAAAATACCCCTCCCAGTTTTCATTGAGGAGATTTGGTTGCTTGCCAACACACTAATTTATAGGGATGTCATAATTCAATTTTGTTCACTGCTAGAAAGACAAGACTATATTGAGTTGTGGAAGGGTACCTACCTGAGAAGATATGTTTAGATTATGAGTGGTAGGAAATGGTCCCCCCACATCCCCCAATCTGGATGGCAGGCAGGAAAAGACCTCTCTGAACCCATGCTCTGCATGGTGTCCAGCACTTTACTCTCCTCTTTCTGCTGACTTCAGTTGTTATAAATTAGTTTTTAATTTTTCCTGTTTATTATTACTTTGCTGGCTGTGCTATATTTTAAGAGTTTGGATAGGATCACGGGCTGATAAGTAATGCTGACTTTAAAGTGTGTATTTAAGATAAAGGCACTTTGTTGTCTGAAAAAATGTTAATCTGCAAAGTAGTAAGTTGTTCAAGGAGGTAAGACCATATCTCTGCCAGAAAATTATTATGTCCTCTATCAGAAGCACGGGCAGATTTTCAAGACATTTCTGCTTTTCTTTGACAAATATAATTTTCAGGGGACTTTGTTTATACAAATATTAGACAGAAAGGTGCTGTCTCCACAGGTGATACACTGTGAAGCATTGTCATGGCATTGGAAACATTCTGTTTAAAATAAAGGGAAGATAAGCTGTGCATCCTGCATTAATTTGTTTAGAATTATTTTCAAGCGATGGAACACTCCTGGAAATAAATTTGCTATAGACCTGTATGTTTTCTGCGGCAGAATAAAAGACCAGTTGTGTGTGTATGTGTGTCTGAGTTTATACAAGAAAATTATCTAGGAGTTAACTCTTTGCAGATAATCCAGCCTGATTGAGTTTTTCTACAGTTACCTTAAGAAAAATAGGAAACTGGGTTATTATTACAGATCTCCATAAAAGTCCAAATAGGAACAAGCATTGTCTGAAATGGTTTATCAAGGAATCCAAAATCATCATCCAATCTGAAGGGACTAATCTAAACATTTTGCTTGTACTTAAGTGTAGTAAGACTTCTACTTTGCAAGAAACATGTTTTTCGATATTCATGTTCAGTTAAAAGTGAGGTTATTCACAGAGTACTTTCTGATAACGCTGTGTTTTCTGCAGGTATTACTTTGTTTTTCTCGGGACACGTCAGTGTTGGAACACTTTGTGTACAATAGTGCTACCCCACCCAAATCATACATTCGAGGTAAAGAAACATTTATTTAAAATGCTCAAGCCATACGTAGGAGCTGAAGAGACAGCTATAATATTTGATAAATATTACTTGATGGTTCTACCTGAGCAGGGGTTTAAAATGTTCAAACCTTGACATTTCTGGTCCATTATACCGAATGCATTTAATTACCACCTCTTTGCAGTGGGATGCAAAGTCATAGGAAATGCAAAGCAGGACATACTCTGCAAAATATGATGGATGTGCTACATTTGGCATGGTGGATTACAGTGGGGCAAAAAAGTATTAGTCAGCCACCAATTGTGCAAGTTCTCCCACTTAAAAAG